AACGAATACTGTAATAAAAAAATTCAAAATTTTTTTGGCTTTCTTTTTGTGTCCACGGAATGTTCTGAATTAACCACCAATGAATAAATGTTCTACAAGAATTTGCTATTGTTTTTTTGAAAAAAAAATTTTTTTCCATACTCTACATGAAAAAAGTGCTTTTGGTGCTTTTTGAAAAATCAAGCGCTGAATCAAACATATTATACCTAGGTAGTTACTTTTTTTTTAGGACCAAATCAAAACAAGCGCGGCACTTATTGGTCAATTGGTGGTGGTGGTGGCGCGTGCAAAGCGCGAGACTGTATTTACATTTACTAAATGTCATTTAGTGGCTAATTCCATGAACTGGACTGGAAACATAAAAAATTAGGCAAATGGGACTAATCTTGAAAAAAAAACCATTTGAAAAAAAACAATGAAAAAAACCTGAAAAAAAAAACAAAAAAAACGGACCGTTTTTTTTCAAGTCGTATCTCTAGTGTAATATTTCAGCTTATCAAGGCATTGCCAACTTAAATGCTTAATTACATGGTACCATGCTCCACATCACAAAGTTTTACCTTGACATTTGAATGCAATTATTTGAGGTTATGTATGTATGTGTCAGTTTAACGCTAGTTTTGCCTTATTTTCTGAAAATAATACAATTTATGTACTATGCTCCACAGTGGTGGGACTTTGAGGTGTGGAGTCCACACCTCAAAGTCCCACCACGTGACCACGAACGGAGCGCAGTCTTTTGAAAATTTGGCATTAGGCATTAGTCAACGAAAGAAATAATATTATGTTTAGGCGTTAAAAATGTATAAATCTTTAAAACATTACAATAACAATGGATGGTTTAAGAATTTAAGAATATAAATACTGCATTTAATGAAATTCTAAAGTGTATGGTACCAAATAAGTAATATTTTTGTGCATTTGGTCCAAATATCTGGTTTTCTCCTTAAATTAATTTTTACTAAACAGTATTTATTAAAAAAATTTAGCTTCTCTATTATGGAATAAGAATATCTGTATTAAAGGTAGGTTAATTTATTATAACAAAAATATCATCTAATTTTTTAATTTTAAGGTTAGAAAAATTCATTTTGACTAAAATAAATATGTATTTTGGATTATTTAAAATACTGTATAATATAGTATTTAAAGATGTGGTAGTTTTTCTTATCCAGCTTAAAGGGTACCTACATAAAGTTTTGACAATACAAATAGTTTTAAAGCTTCGACTGAATTTGATCTACATTGAAAAATCATTATAACTTTAAAAATTTTAATAAATCACATGTTAAGGGAGTATTAAATATTTTCACATTTTTCTAAAAATTGTTTGTTTTCTTGTAATCTAACTTAAAGTAGGTATGCCGAGAGGTGTGCACAAGTTTGTCATTAGAAGTATAAAAGCTTCAATTTAATTTGAACCATATTCAACAATTATTTACTATACCTATATTTATTTATCACCATATTAACACACTCTTCCAAATAATCCACTTATTTATTTTGGTCAAAATAGATTTTTCTAACCTTAAAATACAAAATTAGATGAAATTTTTTGTTCTAATACATTAACCACGGTGCTGTTCTGAGAGGTGATTTTTTGACTTTCTGTGAAACCTAATTTTTTTTTTATTTTTGTTAATTAGGTCATAACTAAAATTTTAAGAGCAAAATAAAAAAAATATGACGGTTTGAATTGTTTTAATTGGCTGTTTATTAAAAATATTATGCACTCTTTCAATTATCCAATTAAAACTAGCGATTTAATTTAAATATTTAATATTTGTATAACTAAAAAAAGGTTTTTACAATTTTTTTTATATATTTTACTGTTTTGTTGCAATAAACGTTCAAACTTTTAATCTAACCTTTGACGTATACATTTATGTTCCCTTAATTAATATATCCTTAAAGGTTGCCATGGAACTTGGATCAATTAAAAATTTATTTGACGTTTGAATTGTCATTTTCAGTATACGTATTCTATAATTTTTGTTTAGTTTTTTAAAGTGTTTTTTATAAACAAAAATGAAAATTGTAGTAAAATTTACGAAGAAATTCATGAAATTTAACTAAGGACCGGTTTATTCATCTTTAGTAAAGTTTATCGGGCCGATAACTTTAATGTCTTGGCAATATTATTCGTCAAATAAATCAAAAATGAATAAATCGGCCCTAAATAAAATGTGGCACCCTTAAAATTATTGTTTAATAAATGTATAGAATATCTGCAGATATTTTTATTATGTATCAAAGGTAGGTTACACGGTGCTGTTCTGAGAGGTGATTTTTGGACTTTCTGTGAAACCTAATTTTTTTTTATATTCTTGTTAATTAGGTCATAACTAAAATTTTAAGAGCAAAATAAAAAAAATTTGACGGTTAATTTTGTTTTAATTGGATGTTTATTAAAAATATGTATGCACACTTTCAATTCTCCAATTAAACTTGCGATTTTATTTAAATATTATCATAACTTTTTAAATCAGATTAAAGATTAGTTAATTTCCTAAAATAAGGTATATACATTTTTTATATCTTTTACTGTTTTGTTGTAATACACGTTTAAAGTTTTAATTTAAGGTTAAATGTATAGTATACATTGTATGATAATATTTAAATAAAATCGCAAGTTTAATTGGAGAATTGAAAGTGTGCATACATATTTTTAATAAACATCCAATTAAAACAAAATTAACCGTCAATTTTTTTTTATTTTGCTCTTAAAATTTTAGTTATGACCTAATTAACAAGAATATAAAAAAATTAGGTTTCACAGAAAGTCCAAAAATCACCTCTCAGAACAGCACCGTGTAACCTACCTTTGATACATAATAAAAATATCTGCAGATATTCTTATTTCATAATAGAGAAGCTAGATTTTTTTAATAAATGCTGTTTAGTCAAAACTATTTTATGGAGAAATGTAGACCCAATGCACAAAAATATTGCACCTTACACTTTGGAATTTCATTAAATGCAGTATTTATATTCCTAAATTCTTAAACCAAACATTGTTATTGTGATAATATAAAGATTTATTAACTTTTAACGCTTAAACATAAGCGGTAACACTATAAATATGATATCTTTCATTGACTATACTTTGACAGATACATAACCTGAAAAGCCTTAAATGCCAAATTTTCAAAAGACTGCGTTCCGTACGTGGTCACGTGGTGGGACTTTGAGGTGTGGAGCATAGTACTTTATGTGTTCTAAATTAAGCCCTTTGTACACAAACAATACATATATGGTAATATTTATAAGAAATAATGCGAAATTAGCGATAAATTGACATATATAGCCTCAATTATTTGTATTTAAATGATAAAGTGGGACTTGATGTGAATCATAGTACCTTAGAGGGCAATTTATTATAATTAAGCCGGCGTTAAAATTGTAAACTAATGGTACATTATAGACCAGGTGGAGAAAGCACATATTATCGACGAGGCAGTAGATTGTGTGCGAGGCAATAAAGAAGCTTTCACCGCCGGGTTTTATATACCTATTATTTTTGTTTCAAGCATTTAATTAAATAATTTTGTTTGATTCTGTCACATTATTTTTTAGATTAGGTTCAACTGACATAATGAAATTTTGGCTTTATTTCTGTACGTAGTTTAATAAAAATGTAACTTTTGAAATAGGTAGTATTACTTATTATAAAAATTATTGTACCTATGCTTGAAAAAAAAAATATTATTTTTCTATGTTCACTGGAGAAACTGTTTTGGAGAAAAATTAGAGTAATTAATATAGTAATAATTATTATTTTTGAACAAAAAAAGTTTACTTGTTAAATGGTGCTAAAAAAAACAGCTTTGAAAAACGCGATTTTATATTCACTTAATGTCAAAGTTCTTGAATCTTTAACAATATTTTTATGGAGAGAAAATGGTTAAAATATTATCCATGTATATATACATCAAATTTAAAAAAAAAAATGTGTTAACCATAGATACCTATGTCCTAGGTATTAAAATTAAAAAACTGTATCTTGGAACCCTCAGTAAAATTACAACAAAATAGTGAAAATGCACTTCTTTACGACAAAAAATATTACAACACTACAATAAAATTTTAAGAAATCTAATTACAAGAATAGGTAATTTCATATTTAATATTATGTTAAGCCAAAACGGAGTGTTCTAGAGTTGATTTTCAAGTAATTTTTATGTACCTAAAAAAAACTTGACTTGATAGTCAATACACTATTTTATTTTAAAAAGTCATTTGTCTGATTTTTTTTACTTGTACTTGTTACTCGAGTAAATATTTAAAAGCAAGTAATTAAAAAAATAATACATATAAGGCTATAAAACATAGGTACCTACTAAACATAATAAATTTCTAAAATAAAAAGTGTGGCCAATCGTAACTACTATTATGGGTTACTATTGACGTTTAATGTACACAATCCATAAAACAAATATCTAGACCAAAATTTTTTAGATTAAAATAGCAGTGAAGTTAAACACATAATCCACAAGAGCTGTGCAATTATTAAAGATTAGTGATTCCAAATTTAGTTAAAGTCGTATACACAACACAAATAAATCACAAATATTATTTGACGCCAACATTTTTGGATTCGTATTTGTCATGTTCTCTAAACATAAATGCAAAAAAAACAAATGCTTTGGCGCTTTCCTGTGACACAAAAGAAGTGTTTTAATTCTCCTATTCGATGTCATAATTGAAAATGTGATTGTTACTATACTTAAAACTAACGTAAAGTAAATAAAGTATATTATTTCGTCGTTTTTAAATGGTATGACTTAAAAAACTTAATTTAATTACCTTTATAGAAAAGACATTTAAAGAAGTAAAAGTAGGCTAAGAAAATAGGTTATGTAAATATAAAACATTCTAGTATTTCACCAAATAAAACAAATGAAATATGTACACTTTGATCGCGTATTAAAAGTAAAGTTAGGCTATGCAAATAAAAAACAAACGGAACAAGTTTCTTTAGAAAAATAACACAAACTAACCTTAAATAAAATGTAAACAATTCACATACTGTGTACGTATACCACAAAACGTTTATCTCTGCACAAAACCTTAACGTACTCTCGCTGCCATGGCCGGTAAAAAAGATTTTACCGCCATAAATAGTGCCATCTATATGTAAATTTATTAACCAAATTAATTATCTTTTATGGGTTTCTTTATAACCGAAAATAAAAACCAAATTTAATTTAATACTTTTTTAAAAAGTCTTTTTATTTAACAATAATAAATTAAATTAAATAAATATATTTACCTAGAATGGCACTAACGAGTCGTTAGTAACGACACACTTCGCCACATGGAAAAGTTTGCTAGAAAACATTTTCAGAAATAAAAAGTTTATATAGGTACCTATAGGTATATAGGTATAGATAAACTTTTTATTTTTCTGAAAATATATATATTTCTAAGAAATTATTTCTTATAGCTGAAAAACTTGAACATGGTCATTTTTTTGCATGAATCGTTTGGGGGTTAGGCGTGTAGGCAGAAAAAAACTAACAAATTGTGTTGCCAGTACTTATTTTCAAATAGTACCAGTGGCGGCTGGTGGATTTTAGGTATACCAATATCTCAGTTATTATACATCGGACCCACACCAAATTTATAATAGTTTATAATGACATTAAATAAACAAGTTCGGCGCAAACAAAATTTAAATTGAAGTTTGCGAAAAAAAGTTAGTTTTTCCTGTCGCCTCACCCGCCTCCAGGCCCCCCTATTTGAGATAATTCAAATTAAATTGGTGCAATTTATTATCTACTATAATTTATCGACAAATTTAAAATTTTATTTAAAAAATCCAAATATTACTGATTTTATTCGATTTTAAATTTTTATTATTTATTTTCTTGAAATAAAAAAGTATTTAAAATGGTATAAAACCTGTAATATTTGGATTTTTTAAATAAAATTTTAAATTTGTCGATAAATTATAGTAGATAATAAATTGCACCACTTTAATTTGAATTATCTTAAATAGGGGGGCCTGGAGGCGGGTGAGGCGACAGGAAAAACTAACTTTTTTTCGCAAACTTCAATTTAAATTTTGTTTGCGCCGAACTTGTTTATTTAATGTCATTATAAACTATTATAAATTTGGTGTGGGTCCCATATGAATAATAACTGAGATATTGGTATACCTAAAATCCACCAGCCGCCACTGGTACTATTTGAAAATAAGTACTGGCAACACAATTTGTTAGTTTTTTTTCTGCCTACACGCCTAACCCCCAAACGATTCATGCAAAAAAATGACTGAAATATTGGTATACCCAAAATCCACCAGCCGCCACTGAATAGTAGGTACTAGTTTTCAGTTAAAAAAGTACCAGATTTAAAAAAAAAGTACCATATTTTCAGAACTCAAAAATAAAGTTTTAGGTAAGGAGGAGTGAAATTTTTTTTTTATTCATTTAATATAAATTAAAACATTTATTTTTTATAGTATTAAAAATAAATTAATATTAAAATCCTATTCAAAGTTAACATTAAACTAGTCTAGAAGAGTAAACTTAACGAGTTTATAAACTAAGCAGGTATATTCGTTAACGTTAATTAAGTTTATAAACTTAATGAATTTACTTAGCTAAGTAAATTCGTAATTTTTGTCGAATCCGAGGTAAAGATGACATTGCACTCATATTTCATGAAGACTTGTTTTGTTTTGAAAGCGAAGAAATCTTCGACCATATGAGTGCAATACCATCTTTACCTCAGACTACTTAAGTAGCCCAATTGGGCTTTAAAAATAAGCTTCTCAATAATTAATTAATAATTAATTATTAATATCTATTGATTTTTAATAAGCGTGCTTTAATAGTTAGTTTAATAGTAATATATAGTTATTGCATTTAATACTACTTTACTTTCATATTATAAATAGTATAATTACCTCTCCATAATAAATATCCCCCTATTAATATTATATAATAAGTATATATACTTAATAATTATATACACTTTTTTCAAAATACAGAAAGTTCCTATCAGAATTTTTAATGACAAGTGACAGTCATGCGCAACAACTCTCTTTAGTTGGTTGGTTTAGTAGGTTTCGCCACAAGGTGGGTGTCGCCATCTATTATCATTCCGCCCAATGTTTCTAAATGTGTATTTATAGTTGCGTGTATCCGTTTAAAATTTATAATAATTTTAATTAATTACTTAAGTAGGGTAAAAAATTGTTATTTTATTTTAAGGCCCATATATCAAAAAGTACTAGATTTTGATCCAAGGGTACTAGGGTATAGAATGTATTAAAAAAGTACTAGATCTAGTACAATTGTACTAGACTGGCAACAAAACCACGTGATACTTAAGTAGGTACCTTAATTAAGCAATTGTTAGTAACAATTGCTTAATTAAGGTACCTACTTAAGTACCACGTGGTTTTGTCAGTACCAGCGCTGCCAGATTGAAAACTTGAATTTCCCCCAAATGTTGCAGCTAAAACCCCAAAAAACCCCAAATAGAAAATCGCGCGAAACGTTTTCTTTTAAAGTGGCGTCAACAAGGTTTTTGTCAATTTTTACGCTTAAATACACAATGAAAAAAAATTCCTAAATAACAGTAATTGTATGATTTAATATCAATGTAAGTACTGAATACTACTTTAGAGAAAGTTCTTCCAACTTCTTTGAGGGGTTGCCTATAGGCTGTTTTGGATTTTGACATTATAATGGCAAAATCCAAAACAGCCCTTCGGGATTTTATATGAAGGACCATGAAGCCTATATATAGACTCCTTGTGTATACACAAGCAGTCTGAACTTCATGTAAACAATAATCTTCCTAAAATAAGAGGGCGCTGGTGTTCCGTTTATTAATATTTGTACTGAAACGCTACCAGAAGACGTCAGTAGTACTGACTCAGTACGCATCGACAATCAGCGCCGCTGGTGGTGAAAAAAAACTTAATTTGTGCAATTTAGAGGGCAGGTTTTGTCAATTTCCCCTATTAAGTTCGGGCTCCTTGTGTAGGCTCCATGTGAAGAACTTAAAAACTTCTAAGATGAACAATACATGGGGCAACCGACACAATGACAATGACACAGTGTTTTGGTTCGTAAAAAGTTGGCAAAACTTGCTGTCAATAATCCGCCTGGCCAACTGTCGGCAGTGTTGCCAAGTCGGTGCATATTGCACTAGATCTGGTGGATTGAACCTCCATCTAGTGCCCGGAATTCGATTTTGGTGCGCTAGTGCAAAATCTAGTGCATCATCGATCATTAACCAAATTTGGTAAATAACAATGAAAAGGCGTTTATACAATGGTTTTATTTTCATAATTTTTCAATCATACAACTCAGCCACCCCAGCAAACACATAAGTCTGGTAATGTAATGGCCCATTACAGCGTTTAATGGTTAAATAATGGCATTTTTAACCCAAGCTGTTCTTGTACTGGGCCTCTACAGGAATTTTTCGTTAATAAATGTCAATTTAGACCAAAGGCTGTCGTGGTAAGGTCTTGCAATGGCCCTTTTCAGGCAATGATATGTATAATTTAACATTAAAGGCCCACATATGGCAATTATAAGTATCAAGTTAATGGAACTGTAACACACCATTACAGTGCCAAATGTTTTCCTTTGCTTTACACCATATTTACTAATGAATTGCCTCATGTTAGTGGTATTATGCATATGCATATAGAAAAATAATATAGGTTTTGAGATATATTAATTAATTATCTAATAGGTGTATTTTATAATTAATTATTAATGAACTAAACAACTAGGTAGTACCTTTTTCAAGTAAGTATTTTTACTGTACAATTTTTACATTAATGTCGTACTATTTAATAACCTAGGAAATAGCTATTTCATGTGACCTATTTTAAAATTTTAAATCTTCTTTTAGCGCACCATGTTTTGAATATTTAACCCTATTTAATTATCTCTATTCAAAACGAAGCTTTTTTCTAGAAAAACTTGCAAATTAGAATCCCATTATAAGACCATTCCTACAGTGCACTGCAGTCGTCAATGATTTAGCAATATAATAGAGATCTCTTATGCATGTGATTTAGCCATATATATCCATTGTGCTAAAGACTGGACTAGAGACTGGATTTATCTACTTAATTTGTTTTGGTGTTCAATTTAATTCATTCGATTCCTTAGAAATGGAAACTGTTGAAATTTGATTTTATTTTATAATACCTATTTGTTAAGTTTTTTTTTTATTTAAATATTTGTTAAGTTTTTTTTTTATTTAAATAGGTATGTTATGTTATAATTATGTTTAAATTACATGTATTTTATAACACATTAAACACTTTGTATTTTTTAATTTTTTGAAAGTTTTAGGGGCATTAATGGAATTACATAATAACGAAATTTTTGTAATATAGTTAAATACCTATCTATTATGGTGGATTAAATTTGGTAGGTATATATTTATTAGGTCGGATATTACACGATAATCGGGAATTTTTATCCCTACCGTCAAAAATCGGTCGGGATAAAATATTTTAATTATCATGGAATATCCGTACCTAGTAAATATATAGGTACCACATTTAATCCGACATAATAGGTACTTCCCAGCAAGCACAAACATCCTCAGGACGTCCTTGGACCAGCCTAAATGTCCCAGAATGGGATGATCCTATAAGGACTTCCCGAGGACGTCCATAGGTTGACCTTATCGGACATTAGATCTTTTGAAGGTCCCATTTTGGGATATCCTAGGAACGTCATTTAAGGATGTCGTTAGGACCTAATAATATCCTAATTAAAGCCTAAAATGGGCTGATCATAGGACTAATCCCAGAGACATCCTCAGAATGTCCCGTTAGGTTTTGGTAAACATTTGGTATGCACATTTTTCTACAAGAATATTTTATCCATATAATTAATAATACCTACATTTTTTTACATAACTTATTTTGCATAGGCACATCTTAAAAATGTTAATCAATATAATTATAATATTATATTATATAGATTTTTTAAGTTTATAAACTATATTTTTTCTACGACAATCACAAAAATTAAATAACTTTCAACAATTATATATAAAAAGTTATTTATAAAATCTGACATCGACCAGTCTATTCTAA